ATATCTTTATTGATTTCAGAGAGAGGAAGGGGGAGGGAGAGAGAGAGATAGAAACATCAGTGATGAGAGAGTCATTGATCTGCTGCAGCCCGCAACCGGGGCATGTGTCCTGACCGGGAATCGAACACTGATTGCCTGGATCCTAGGCCGATGCTCAACCGCTGAGCCATGCCCGGCTGGGCGAGAGCCATCTTTTTGATTTATTAATTGCATTAGGTTTCTTTTTCCTTATTATTTATACTCTTATTACATACCATCTTCCTTTTCTCTTAGGTTAATTTCGTTGTTCTTTTTTCCTTATCTTTCATGTTGGATGGTCATGCCTTTTATTATCTATTTAGTAACAACTGCATTTATATTCTATGATTTTCTCTTGGGCCCATTTCAGCCAAATTTAATAGGCTTATGGAAGTAGTCTAAAACCTATGTCTTATTGCAAACAATCTAATTCAATGGTTCAACAATGTAGAGTAAAAAGTTAAGACTAATTCAAAGTAATTTCCTTCCTTAAAAATCAAGTGCTTCCTTTAAATTAAGAAGCTCTCATTTTTAGTGATCAAATTTGAAAACACATGAATTGCATTCTCAATAAATAACATACCTGCTTCTACCATGTAAATGTGATCTATATTTGGTAACATCTCCCCCTTGACTTCAAGACCATCTCTGCCCTCACCCCCAGTCTTTGGCTGAGCCAGTTCCCGGAGATCAGCTTGCAGGAGTGTCTTTTAAAATTTTTATCCATTTGAGTAGTAAATAAGCCACATTTGATAGGATTATAAAAGATTATGTCAGAGCACCCACATTTCTATCAGGGACATTAACTTATTAACTCTGACAGTGCTGAAAGTGAGCATGCTTAGCATAGGTGTGTTACTCACACCTGCTTCGTGCATCAGTGATTGCCCACATTCTCTCTACTTGATCAGAGAAGCCAAAAAATAGACTATCTCTTGACACTTTTATAATCCAGTCACTTGAGGCTTCATTGGGAAAAGGAATAAAAATTCAATTGTTGCTGAGAGCCAGAAGAATTCAGAATTTATCAGAACCTAAGAACAGGGATCCACGTCTACATATAAAAAAAGAAACATCAGGGGGTGTTTACTCATTATTTTAGTAGCTATGTAATCTCAGTTTAGATGTTACAATTTGACTCAAGAAAATAATTTATGACAAAAAAGTCATAAAAATAGATTAACTTTGTATTTTATATATTCTTTCCAATGCAACTAGAGAATACAAGAATCAGTGTTGAAAATTAATTTAATAATTTGATTTGAATTCACTATTTGTATGAGTAAATATCAGTTTTGAAATTAAGGACTTTCTCATGATTATACAAATTATATAGAGCTGTTACTACAATCTACTTCAGTGTCTCAGCACATTTCAAATAATCTGACATTTACTACAAATACTTTATGTATTGGTAAAAGCAGAAATCATAAGAAAATCCAAAATTTATTCAGGTTTTTTTAAAGTACTTATACTAAAAAGTAAGAAAATGTTTTTATATTTTATATTTCAATTTGGCTTTGACTCAATTTGTTTCTGTATCTGATTATCTATAAGTCAGGCAGTCAGTCATGTGGAGTTTGAACTACTGTTCGGAGTATCCTTATATGTGAAGTCTATTCATGTAACAGTATGTTATCTCTGGTTATTAAAGGTATAATATTGTGAAAAACATAAAACACATTAAATTGCATTCTTCATTAGTAATATACCTGTTTTGGGCATTTCAGTGGGCTCTAGATTTGCACAAGTGTGCCCGAGAACTTCAGGATCATCTCCACCCTCGCCCCCAGTCTTTGGTTTCACCAGTTCTTGGAGATCAGCTTCCAGGTCAGTCCCTTAAAAAGAAAGTGATCAATTTGAACAGCAAATATAACATAAATTAGGAAATGGTAATATTCATTTCTTCAGTTATATGAAAGAAAGCCTGGAATATAGTGTGACAATATGTGTGATAGAAAGATGGACTTCACATCCTTGTTTTTCTGTGCTATGAACCTTGTTGTGAACGACAATCTGAAGATCAACCACACGATATCTACATTTCCTATATATGATCATAGTGCACTAATAAGAGTAGTGAGCATCAGCTATCAAAGAAATCTGAGGTGTACACCATGGGTAGGATGTTAATTACAATTAAAATATAATTATCTAATCTCAAGTAAACCACCTAACCTTACACCTCATGGAACTAGAAAAAGAACAACAAACAAAGCCCAAAGTGAGCAGAAGGGAGGAAACTACAAAGACCAGAGCGAAAATAAATAGAATAGAATAAAAAAATACAAAAAATCAAGGTATAAGCTGAGGGACATATATGCATACCCCATTGGCCTTCACCAAACACTAGTTTGGTGAAGGCCAAGGGAAAGAGTGATGGGGGTAGGTGAAGGTGGACAAAGGGAGGAGGGAGTTGGACAGCTGAAATAATGTCAACATTAAAAATTTTAAATAATAATTTAAAAAGATCAATAAACCAAGAGCTGGCTCTTTGAAAATGTAAAAATCCATCAATAAATCTTTAACAATACTCAAGAAAAGAAGAGAGAGGACTCAACTAAATGAAATCAGAAATTAAAGAGAAGTAACAACAAACACCGCAGAATTACAAAGCATTATAAGAAAATATTACGAACAGCTATATGCCAACAAATTGCACAATCTGGAAGCAATTGATGAATTCCTAGAAACATAGAATTTCCAAAATTGAATCAAGAAGAAAGAGAAAATCTAAATAGACCTATTATAACTTATGAAATCGAAGCTGTAAAAAAACCCTCAACCACTCCCAACAAACAAAAGTTGTGGACCAGATTGTTTCATAAGTTATTTTACCAAACATTCAAAGAACTAACACCTACCCTTCTCAAACTATTCCAAAAATTCAGGAGGAGGGAAAACTCCCAAGTTAATTTTATGAGGCGAGCATTATCCTAATTCCATTACCCTACAAGAACATAGATGCTAAGTTCCTCAACCAAATATTGGCAAAACAAACTCATCAATAAATTAAAAAGATCATACTCCATGATCAAATGGGTTTTATTCCTGGGATGCAAGATTAGTGCAATATCCATCAATCAATTAACATGATACAACACATAAATGAAATGAAGGATAAAAATTATATGATCATATCAATAGATACAGCAGAAAAAGCATTTGATAAAATCCAGCACACACTTATGATAAAAACTCTCAGCCAAGTGGGAATAAAGGGAACATACCTTAAAATAATAAAGAAGGCCATATATGATAAACCCACAGCTAACATCATATTCATGGGTAAAAACTAAAGACATTTTCCTTAAAGATGTAAAGGGAAGCATAGAAAATATAGTCAATCATATTGCGGTAATTATATATGAGTACTGTAAATAGTGAGATGAAATACTATATAAAGCACATGTTTAACCACTAATTTGTACACCTGAAACCAATACAAAATAAAATCAAAAGGATAAAATTTTAAAAATGAAAATATTTCATAAAGATTAGGAACAAGTTAGGGATGCCCACTGTCAACACTCTTATTCAACATTGTACTGGAAAATCCTAGTCACAGCAATCAGATAAGAAGAAAAAAAGGTATCTAAGTTGGAAAGAAAGAAGTGAAACTGTTTTAAAGTGCTGATGACATGATACTGTATATAGAAAACCCTAAAGATTTCACTGGAAAACTACTAGAACTGATAAATAAATCCAGCAAAGTGGGGATACAAAATAAATATTCAGACATTGGTTGCATTTTTATATACTAGCTGGGTTTTGTGCCTGCATGGTGGAGAGTTTGAACTGAATACCCTGTGAGATCAGCCAACCAGAACTGGGAAAGGAGGGGCTGAGCAAGCTTACCTCTCCCCCAGGCTAGGAGCACCAGCCCCAACTGGAAAGGTGCTGGTTAAGCTCACTGTAGCCTCAGATATCTACCACTGGGTACAGTTCAATGGGGCAAGGGAGAACAGCTCATTGGAGGACATTACAAGAGTAAGACTCTCAGGGACTATTGTTTAGGAACTGGAGGAAAAGTGTAAATCCCTCTGGGGGCTGGGCAGGCAATGTGTGCACCAGAGTCTCTTTTGATCAAACCCACTGAGCCAAAACCTCTGAAACTGCCCATACAATGTGAACCTGCAGGCCATTTCATGGGGAACTAGAACTGGAGGACAAGGCAGAAAGGGAGGAGCTGGCTTTGAAGCAGAGATTAACTTCCCAACTGTGAGTACTTGACAGCAAAATCTGTAAGTAAGGGGCGCAATCAACAGCCCGAGCTACACTAGTTGGACTGTACCCTAAAGACTCTTTTAGTAAGATGCTGGAGTAAGACTAGGAAACCACAAGGGGGAGGCAAAATAGCTGACAAGTGGAAGTAGTCCACGAGAGACTCAGACCAAACAGTTACCTAGGGACACCAGGAGCCAAACCTAGTCAGCTCCTGCATTGGTTGACATAATACCTCCCAGGAGACCCGAAATCAGCATACAGAACGGTCAGCCTCAGGCAACATAAGCTGCCCAGAAGAACCTCACATAGTTGGCTTTTTTTTTAAAGAAAAAAGAGGAAAAGAAAGTTTATATAAAAAATTAAAAAAAAATTAATTTTTGTTTTGGATTTGTTTTTTCTTGCTTTTTATTACCAAGATTTTCTTGATATTCTCTGATTTATTGCTGGGATGTTATTATTATAATCATTAAGTTTATTCCTTTTCTCTATTGTTTCTTCCATAGCTCTTATTGTCCTCCTTCGTTACCCTTGCTTTACCTTTCTCTATTTGTTCCATTGGCATAACTTTTTTTCTTTGTCTTTCCCCTTTCATTCTGTCTCCTTGTCTTTTTTTTCCTTTTTCTTCAACCACTTTCCTGTTCTTACTCTCTACCCTTACTTTTTGCCCATCCTTCTTTCCTTTCAGAATTTTTTCTCTGCCCCTTTAATCTCCCAGTAGCCTCTCTATTTTTTTACTTTTTTATCATTAGCAATAATATCTTGTTCTCACTTTCTTTTCTGCCTAAGTATTTGTGTTCTCCCTTTTCTTTCCTAATTCCCTCGGGTGATTTGCGTTGTGGTTATGAGGACCTTTCATAGGTTCCTGTNTTTTACTACTAAAAATAATATCCTTTTCTCTCTTTCTCTTTGGCCTTAGAATTTGTATTCTCACCTCGCATTCCTAATTCTACTTTCTCTTGGGTTATTTTCATTGTGATTGTCAAGATATTTTGTAAGTTCCTGTTTGTTTCCTGTCAGTCTGGTGGTGTTTTGTTTTGACATCTCACCACAAAGTGGTTGTGGCTGAGCCTCACTGTTAGAGATGAGTCCTCCCACAAACGGATCAACAACAATCTAGACCCAATCACAACTGGAGAGCCCAAAGGACCCACAAAAGGGACATACCTAGCTCAGAAGTATAAAGAAAACACACCTCTGGGTCCCACTGGACATTCACTATAAAAGCCCTCCCCACAAGACTGGGAAAAAACAAATATATCTAATATACAGATACAAGTACAAAGAGGCACTAAAATGAGGAGACAAAGAAGCAACCCCCAAACTAAAGAAAAAGAAAAAGACCAGAAAAAGACCTTGATGAGATGAAGGTAACCAAGTTATCAGAAATAGAGTTCAGAATAATGGTTATAAAGATGCTCAAGGAAATTAATGAGAACCACAAGACACTTAATGGGAACATTCAGGAACTTAATGGGAAATAGAAACAACTTAGTGAAAACTACATCAGCATAAAAAAAGACATAGATACTATGAATAAGAACAAGGCAGAAATAAAGAACACTATATCTGACATCAAGAATACAATGGGGACGGGAAGATGGCTGCACTGTGAGAGGAAGCAGAGCGCCCTTGCTCCCAGCCATGGGCTTGATTTAGTGCTAAAATACTGAGTAACCAGCTTGGAAAAAGTAGAGGAATATACCAGAGTGGACATATTTTTAAATTAAATTAAATTAATTTTTTTTAAATCTTTGTTTAAAATATTACAAATGTCCCTTCATCTCCCCAATGACCCATTCCACCTTGCTCCAACCCCCTCTCCAGTCCCTCTCCCCACAATTGTCCATGTCCTTGGGTTGTGCATATATGCATATAAATTCTTTGGTTATTCTCTCCCCCTCTACCCACCCACCCTCCTCCATCCCTCTGACATTCATCAGTCTGATCTATGCTTCCATGTCATTGAATCTATTCTGTTCATCAGTTTATTAAGTTCTTTAGATTCCACATATAAGCGAGATCATGTGATGTTTGTCTTTCTCTGCCTGGCTTATTTCACTTAGCATAATTTTCTCCAGGTCCATCCATACTGTCCCAAAAGCTACAAGAACCTTCTTCTTTACAGCTGCGTAGTATCCCATGGTGTATATGTCCCACAGCTTTTTTATCCTGAGTGGACATATTTTTAGTATGGAGCACTGAAGAATTATCACAGAGTCTGGTAAGGGGGGGACATAGAAAGGGAGAGTCTCCCCTGAAACCTGTGCTGGGCTCTGAGGACTCGAGGGTTAGAGGCTGCAAAGCTCCGTCCCCTTGGGAGTGTGGACTAGATTCCAAAAGCTGAAATCTCAAACCCGGAGCGGAGGAGAAGGGAAGGAGTGCCCCACGTGGAAAGGCAGAGGGACCCAGGAGAATAGTGTGCCTGTGAGGAGAAGACCGCACCCTCCTAGTAAAACAAAGCTTCTAATAGAGGCAGCGTCAGTTGCATTACACACAAGGTGCTGATCATAGGAAAGGCTATCCCACAGTGTGTGGCCCTTGAATAGAAAGGGGCCAGAAGTGTGCACTGAGCAGCCACATACAGGGGCTCTCTGTCTTCTTGTAAGGCATT